ACCCAATTAAACCAAATAAGACACACATAAAATAAGACACACGTAGAATAATTAAACCAATTACACTTAAACCATTAATGTCAATTAAATAATTAAAATACTAACAAGTAATTCTAATCAAATAACTAAACCAATTACACTTAAACCATTAATGCCAATTAAATAATTAAAACACTAACAAGTAATTCCAATCAAATAACTAAAAATAAATATCATTTAAATAAATTAAATCACCACAAAAGAAAACAATTAAGCACCTAATAAAAAAAATGACACATAATCAAATAAAATGCACTTAAATAATAAATTAAATACCATTAAATACCAGGAATATCCTTTTTAAAATTAGGGGTATTACAGTCGTCATACCAGATAAGATAACAAAAGATCTAGACACAAAAGAATGTGATGCACCAGTGTCAAACAGTATACGAGCAGTTCTACCATGTATAGAAAACATACCCTCAATAGCCTGAGGAGCCTGCGCATTATGTGGCATGAAGTTATAAATTCTGCCATGATGCAACTGCTGTGGAGGTTGTCCCGGAGGAAATGGTGGTGTTGGAAGTGCCGGAAAATTCTGAACTTGCCCACGTGGCATCGGTGGGGCCGGTAGAGGTAATGGCTGATTAGGTCTCGGCTGCCCATACTGTCCCGGCTTAACTTTGGGACACATCTTGGCCGGATGCCCAATCTCTCTACAGTGATAACAACGTCCTGTAAAAGGACCTGCCTACCTCCTCTATTGACTTCCTGAAAACTGTTCCTGTCCGGTCTGAGGTACCCCACATTGTCTACCCTGATTAGGGACTCCATCCCTCTGCACATCTGGGTTTCCTTTGTTTTTCTTTCAAGGTTGATGTCCTTGAAATCTGCCCTGATCATTGGACTTGGTACCACTGTTGCTTCCTTTCTCGACTGTCTGGTAGTCTCGGTTAGCCCGCTTATCTCCCTTGGACTTCCGGTAATCACTCCTCATCTGGCAGTGCTGTAAAGCGGCATTAACCACCTGGATATAAGTAGTATATGCAGGACTACCTATGATCACCACTTTAATCGGCCATATCAACCCCTTAACAAAGCGGTCTCTCTTCTTTTCTTCCGTATTGACCTCCTCTGGTGCAAATAATGACAAATTAATGAACTTCTGTTCATACTCAGCCACAGTCATATCCTCCTGTTGCAGATCCAGAAATTCAGTCTTCATCGCTGATCTTACTGACATAGGAAAATACTTGTCATCAAAGCGAGTCTGAAATTCAGCATAAGTCAATCTGGTCCTCTCTTCGACAGTAGTAATAGACTCCCACCACTGCAATGCATTGCCTATCAGCATAAACGTAGCTAGCATCTGTTTCTGCACTCCGGTACAGATTACCATCCGAAGATGACGCTCACTCTCCTGTTTCCACTGATATGCTAACAGGACATCTGTGGACCCCGCAAACGATGGTGGATTCCCTCTAATAAACGAGTGACGAGTTTTGTCCCATGACATTGGCTTTGCCACTGGTTCAGGAACAGGTACTATCGGAGGAGGTTGCTGGTTTCGTAGAGTAGATGCTACTCCTACTGCTACAGCTTGTGCAATAATATCAGCAACTTGAGGGTAAAATTCCTGATTCTCATTTTGAGTTAGGGTAATACTGCGATGACGGTTCGCATTCCTTGTCCCACGCCGAGACATCCTTCTTTTGGATTCAGAAAAATCTAACGTCAGTACATTATAATGGATCGACTAAAAGAATACAAAGAACCCTAATACTTAGGCTCTAATTATCAACATACACAACGCGGAAGTATAGTAATCATAGATCCCTAAGACACTCGAACCTGGACTGCTCTGATACCAACTGTGACACCCCCACCTTTTCCACGCATAAGTTGATCAGGCTTATACACGAAAAACGAAGGATATCAAAAACAATTGGCAACATACAAGCATGGAATACAAAATGATAATAATAAAAGAATTTAGACAGGAAAGGAACACTAAATAATACAACATCCATCCATCCTTTACTTAATATAATACTCCATTACAACTTGGAAATCCTATGTCAAGGATCCCTAAATATAAACCTGAGAGTTCAACGTCAAAAGTAAATAAAAACTGAAACTGAAGTAATACATAAAACTTCTACCCTGTACTGGATCGTAAGAGTAGATGAGTTCGGATGGTGGTCCCACACTGCTAACCTCAACCTTGGAATGGGTACTAACCGTATCCTGAAATAACAACAATGGTGGGTCAACCCCACGAGCAAGTCCTCTCTATTGTGATCCAAATCAGAGAATCAAATAAATTAATCATTATGAATTGGATGAGTATTATATCTGTATACATCCTAAGGGAACTACCCAATGTATAATATGACCTCAACCAGAATAGACGGTGATCACTTAGACTCACACTAGGTGGTTAAGTGTCGCCTTTCCCTACCCGGGAAATCAGCTATTATACATGGTGCACGGTACTGACAACACAGACTATAATGAACTACACAGTGATAACACCTCTCAAAGTACTGATGAATATACTGAGCATATAAATTAGGCAACACATGCCAATAATATTACTAAATATACTGAGTACGTCAATTAGGCAACACATGCCAATAATATTAAACCACATACCCCGACAGCCACACATCTGTCGAATGCATAAGGTATAAATGAGTCTAAACTTATTAGCCAGCTCACATGGTTCTATATGACAACACATCCATATAATATAAATGCGACATAATTAAACAGTCCATTTATTTCCTGAAATGCACACAGCATAATAATCATGGTTTATATATCATTTAACAGTATAAACATTCCATGAGATATCATGGATAATTTATATGACTAAAACCATGGCATTATTTAATTTAACAGTAATGTTTGATACCATTTAATAAGATAATAGCACTATTTATATTTAACAATGTCGTTAAATAAATCACATTCATATCCGTACTGTAAACGAGCCAATAAATGCTTCGAAAAGATTAATCGGCCATAAGAATAATTAACGGGTAATAAAATAATAATTTTGTGGCCCGTCAAACCCGTAAATACCAACACAGGCCCTAAAAAATCAAAGTTTAAGGTTGCGAAATTCACAAAAATGGCCTTAGGGGTAGTCTGGTAATTTCCAGCAGCTGAAAGGGCCCTTCATGCACCCCCACGCACCGCCCTAAGCTTCCCCACGCGCAGCCCAACCTTCCCCACTCTCCCACGCACCTCCACGCGCGTCTGGCATCAGCCACGCGCGCGTTTAAGTCTCCTGCAGACGTGGCACCTCCTGGTTGGTTTGCTGTATTGACTTGCTGTGGGTGCGCTACACAGGATCACTTCATCTCATCTCACCTAATCCAAGGGTCAATGATCCGGGTGTACCGCGGTAACATGGACCGCGATGCACCGGATCAATCAGATTCATCTAAAGCCCAGGATGCGCGCCCACGCTACCCTAAAGTACGCCGCATCACACCGGATCACTCCGGTCATCTCCCCCACATCCGGTGGCCCGAATCCTCGCCGGAGTCTCGCCGGAAATTGCAGAAAATCCCCGGAAAAAATCTAAAAAATTCTAAAAAATTCCCTAAAGACTTATTTAATTATTTTCAGCCTTTAATAATTTCATAGGATAATAAATAAATATATACCATCCCATAAAATTAAAATTTCATTAATTTAATAAACTAAAATTAATAATTTATTAACCTCCTAACCTGGTCTCTATGCATATAAATAAACTAAACAATTAATTTATTAATTCAAATGGGAAAAGTAGATAATAACTTGCCCTTTGGATTTAAAATAAATCCGCCGGTTGCGCGTAGTCGGGTAAATTTCTCCTACACCGGTCCAAGCTCCTTTCTTTCTCTTTCTTCCTTTCCACACTTTTACAATGGCTCACTGAAAGATATAACTTTTTCTAACTCCCGTCCATTCCTTCTAAGGTAGGCTAACTAATTTATATACAATTTATATAATATAAATATTACAAATATCTAATTTTACATTTAACTAACTACATTCCCAACCATATGGCTTCAAGTCATGTAACCACATTCCTAACCATATGGCTTCAAGTCTACCCATAAACATTAATGAAATCCTATCCTAATCTCTAATTTCATCATGACATTATGATTTAATACTATTATTATTATTATAACTATTATTATTATTATTACTAATATTATTATTATTATTATTATTTTTTATATTTACATAAGAATACATTACAATCATAATCATACTTTACCATATGAATATACTACTTTAAGTAACTAATACTGCTTAATACAAACCTTACCAATAAATAAAAAAATATAAAATATGAATACATGTACAATTAAATTAAATTAATTTAATACATTAACATACACAATAATAGATGAATAACTATCACATTAAATATACAGAAATAATTTAATTTAATTTAAATAAGCCCTTTTTAAACTACAGGGTATTACAAAACGCTACCAATAGTATCTTACCAACTCCCTGGTGAAAAACTTCTTGGAAAAAAAAAAAAAAAAAACTTACTGGGAAAAATGTTGTAATTTATCTTTTTTATTCTGAATTTAGTTTGATTCTTTATTTTATAAAAATAAATTTTCTACACTTATGTGTGACTGCGAATGACACACTAGGACACAGTATGGTGGAATGGACCAAGTTATACTTTCTTATTACGGGACAATAGTTCTTTTGCTTACGTGTCTAATCTGGAATTTATTCTCCGCTATGATTGTATTGGCAGATTGGAAATCAATAAAGTTGTAATTTTATTCAATGTAGGATGACTAAAGTGTTGTCATCCTTTCATTCTTGATGATAAAATGACTTTCTATATTATTTTATGAATTATCATATTCAATCTTAAGATATTGTATTTCTAATTGGGACACACTTAGAAAAAATTGTGTTGGCCTGCTCATCATACGAATTATTTAGTGGTCATAACCTATCTTTAAATTTATTGTTTCTCTTGACAGGTAATCTCTATCATACTTAAGAGAAATGTTGTTATAAAGACAAATTGCATCAAATAAATGGAATGCTGCGAAGAAAATTATTGTTTTAGGGAGTCTACCAATGCTTAAAGTGAGACTAAGTATGGAAAGTCGAAAAGATAAATTGTTAAGGCTTTGGAGCAGTATGAGTAAACGACACAAATGTATAAAACTATCACGGACGAGCTTGACATAGCCTAATTCCCTGAGCAAAGTGATATCTTTAGTAGTTCATTCATATTTTGTTTTCTTATGGACATGTTAGTTCTTTTATAGTTTATTAGTTGGTTTTTAATGGACACACAATTGGTAGATGTAATGGAAATGTCATACATGGATGTATTTAATAGTTTTTTTTTCATAGATAAGCCATATGGATATATGTATACAGTGTGTAATGGATGTATTTTATTTGAAATAATTAATTGAATTATTTTTTTAGTTTTTACTATATGTGATTAATGATATTTAATTACTAATGTATTATAAATTAAAAAAATTAAAATGTTGATAGATTTATTAATTATATTACCTGTCTAAAATTATTATTATTTTTTAACAAAAGAATTGGATATTTGCGACCAAATTTTATGGCCACAAAAGAATAAATTATTTGCGACTAAATTTAATGGTCACAAAAGGGCAGCTTATTTGCGACCAAAAATAAAGGTCGCAAAAGGTTACCTCATCTGCAACCAAAAATAAGGGTCGTAAAAGGCGAGCTCATCTGCGACAAAAACTAAGGGTCGCAAAAGGGTCCCTCATCTGCGACCAAAAATAATGGTCGCAAAAGGATACCTCATCTGCGATCAACTTAATGGTCGCAAAAGGGGACCTTATCTACGACTAAACTTAATGGTCGCAAAAGGGTTCATTATTTGCGACCATAAAATTTGTCGTTAAAATTCATTTTGGTCGATAATATAATGGTCGCAAAAAAGGGCTTATTAGCGACCAATTCATTTTTTGGTCGATAATATAATGGTCGCAAAAAAGGGCTTATTAGCGACCAATTCATTTTTTGGTCGCTAAAAACTATCCGTGTAGCAGGTATCGTCGACCACGGGGCGATCAAAATGTTTTGGTCGCTAAAGGACATTTGCGACCAATTTTTGACCTTTTGCGACCAAAAATTTGGTCGCAAAAAACCCAATCTGTTGTAGTGGTTCAAGCCATGGTTAAGTGGTCTAAGCCACTTAGACCCAAAACTAATTTCATTAAGCCATATTAAATTTGGTCCGAGCCATTTGGTTCGGATTACACCCAATTCATTATTTATATAGTATAGATGCATTTTTGAGTCAGAGAGAGTATTACACGGAGGAGGTTCGTCGTATCCACGAGTTTGTAGTGTTACTACTGGTGGATGTAGACCGTTGTAGCCTGAGAGATAGACGTCACTGAGTCCGTTAGCACCATAGTGGGGCGAATCCGTCTTAAGAACATAGTATTCAATACTAGCCTCGGTCCAGATTCTTTATTTATTATTTATTAATTTACTGTTTTATTTTGCATATTTAATTAAATATATAGTTGCATATTTAATTAATCATTTCTTAACATATTGTTAATTATCTCATAACATATTAGTATAAGAGTTATCATATCTTAAATGTCATATGGATCATATATTTTACCAACAATCTTAAGACAGGTTTACGCCTTGTATAGATTTTATCATATATGTTTCTATTTAAGATATAAATAAGTAGAGATTATACTAATAATTGAGATATAATAAAATATTATAATATACATTATTATATGATAATATGCTTAATATTGATGTGTTCAATATTATGTGAAATTGAAGCATGTTATAGAAGTAGATTATTGAATTATTTATATAATTTAATATTGATTGACTAATTTTAATTTTGTAATATGATATTATGTAGTATATTATATTATCTTAAATTTGTGCCAACTATAGGTAAAAAAAAATGTATTTCGTTACTTTATCAATGATTGCACGAGATACTGTTATGTATATTTTTTACGAAATAAAGATAAAACCTTAGAAATGAGGTTAAAAATCAACTTGGCAAAAAGATCAAGGTATTAAGAAGTGATAGAGGTAGTGAATACGAAGCACCATTCGCTAACATTTGTTCAGAATATGATATTATTCACCAAACTATCACTCCTTATTCACCTCAACGGAATGGTGTTGCTAAATGCAAAAATCGTAATTTAAAATAAATGATTAATGCTATGTTGATAAGTTCTTGTTTAACCTAGAATTTGTGGGGACAGCTTTACTTTACAAAAGAAAACTAATGTGACACCATATGAATTATAAAAAAGTCGAAAAACATTCCTATAAATTATTAAAAATGTAGGGGTGTTTAACTAAGATTGCGATTCCTACTACTAAGAAAGTTAAAGTGGGACCTATAATGTGGCAACCTTATGGATGGGTGTGCCGTGGGCGGGTGCAAGAGGCACTGACAGACTACCACATTGGGTGAGTTACAAATACACAGTCCCTCATCACTTAGGTAAGGGAATGTAAAGTGCTTTTATGTGGTGGTGTTATCTCCAATTGGTATGAAGGCCTTCTGGAAGAAAACCCAAGAACAAAATCATGTGGGCTCGGGCCTAAAGCGGATAATATCATACGATATGATGGAGTGGATCGTTACAAAAAACATTTGATAGGTTATGCTCATAATAGTATTGCATATCATTTTCTTGTGTATAAATCATACAATGAAAATAAAGATGAGCTTAGACGTAACAAGAAGGCTCTAACGTCTAAATCTTTTATTCTTGATTTTCTAGAAAGCTTATTGGAGAATGAGACACAAAGCTTTTTTCTTAAATTAATTATGTGATATAATTAATCATGTAATATAATATTATTTATGTGAGTTCAATATTATTTATATAAGTGCTTACTTTTATTTGAGATTATAATATTGAGCTATGGAGTTGAATTATTTAATGTGCATAGTAATTCAATTTTACAATATAATTTATCTAATGTCTAATATTATTATATTTGTACGAGTTCATGATTGGTTTGTGTATGTAATACAACAAACAAAAATTGACTTGTCCAGCTATGTCAGTTTTCTCGATAGTCAAGGGAAAAGATCTATATTAGTGTCTAAGACACGTATAACTGTGAATGGGCTGAATAAGAGAGAGATTTCCGATAACTCTAAAGAGTTCAATGGAAAATGTTATGGATACATTAAGTTTGTACACTAAGACGAGCTAAATCAAGCTAGCTAAAAGGTAAAATGTTAATGAGCTGAAAACTAGTTAGCTTAGCTATAAGCTAAAGTGATCACTGAGGTGCAAAGAACCTTAGAGACGTTAGTTGGTTTTAACTCTCAACTTAAAAAAAAAAAAAACCCAAGAGTATTCGAATAACCATTTTAGTTATAAGCTATTTGAGTTATACGTCATATATACTCTTGTAGGAGGGAAGAATACTACTTTACAAGTAGTAGTTTTTGGATAATATTTTCCAAAACAAATTCTTATACTACCAAGGTAGACTACTTAGATAAGTATAAACTAAAGCTATGAGCTACTATAATTGATAATTGAGCAAAATTAACTTTAAGATTGTGGCAATAGCAGAGAAGTGGATGTTCATCATAATCTAATAATGAGATATGAGAAGAGTGTGCTTAATCTAAGGTAGTAATAATACTTGAGAAGTGAGTGCTTACTATGTGGTAATGTATCCAAAGCTTAAATAATTAGATAATTATTTGCTTAAATTATTGAGTTATGTGATGTGTGTGACACAATGAAAGGTTAAGATATGTTAATATGATTGACTTAACATAAACCTAAATATATATAACTCAAGTCATAAATATAAGAAATGTAAAACCAAATATTAATTAGAGCTCAATCTAATTAATTTCTCTAGTATTAATTCACAGTAATGTCGATGAATTATTATAATAATAAGTTAGAGATAAAATGATAAAGTGAGTACATATGCATTAGAGACTGTTATACATGATTGTTGAGAAGCGGATATGGAAATTTAAAAAAGTAGATGAGGTAAAGTATTTAATATATGGTACTTTCAGAGTTGGAAAATCATAATAAATACATCAGAAATAAAATTTTAGGATTCTCCCAAAGTTGTGGGGAGATATTATTCATTGATGAGATTTATTACAAGTCACCTCATCTTAAGAGAAATATTTATAAATGTGGGGGGTTCCGAATCCTAAGAGTTTTAGGATAGAACCAAAAATCATTTATAGTATTATAACAGTAGTGCATGTTGTTTCCTACGAGGAAAATATTATGGAACAACTAGAAGAGTTCTATTTCCACTTGAAAAGCTGAATTATTTATTATAGTTGAAAAGTCAAGTGTGCAAGCTTATAAATCCTTAAGTAGATTAAAGTTATTACAGAGATAATGACATGAATATGATGCATAAGTCATTGTATGCCTTAAAAAATTAATGATATACTAATTCGTATATTTGAAATGAAAGATTGAGCATCTGATAACATGGTATATTCTCAATAGAGTGAGATTGAGATAATACTAGTTATGATAACAAAAGCCTAGCTAACTTTTGTAAATGTAAATCTCAAATATAAATACTAGTCAAAGTATACTGGTTAAGATTACAAGACATCTTAATAACTGTGTTTAATTGCACATTTTAAATCTTGGATCAGATCACTGAAAAATAATAAATTGGGTAGTTGAGATACACCCTAAGTCCAATATTACATAGATCGAGGTATCTAACTAAATTGGAGGTATAACAGTGATGCAATCTGGATGAAGGATATTAAAGAATTCAAATCCAATAGTGGATATGTATTTAATATTAAAGGTGTAGTTGTATGTTATTTTAAACAATCAAAGTTAGAAACTTTGAATAAATTAAACAGAAAAGTTAATAGACTTAACTTAGGGGACATTTCAAAAGAAGTTTACACCTGTGCCAATAAAGAAAAGGATATTACTAACAATAAGCAATTTTAGGACACAAAATATACATTTGCTCTCAATCGGGGAAATATCTGCAAAGTATAATATTTCTATATACAACCATATGGCCACATATAAACTTGAGGGTTGTACTAGAGAGCAATTGTACAGATCATTGAGGGGAATGGGGTTAAAGCCGAAAGCTAGCGAGTTACCTTAATGAAAACTCAACCTAGCTGACTGAAGATCCCAAGATCTAGGTTCAAAGGGACAATAGAAATTTTGAGTGACTTACCTGAAGTACTGGGAAGATATAAATCTTTTACCCATTTCTATGATGAGACAGTGCTACCTATAATGAGGATTAGGATAAGCTACACTTTTAATGACTCTTATACCTTAAAAATTCAAGTGGGGGTATGGTAGGATACTCTTAATAAGAAGTCACCTATATGAGTATGAAGTGGGGCCGCTTATGGGAACTATAAAGGCTAAGTTTTCTAGAGCACTCATGAATACCAGGAA